GATTTGCCTGATTTTGCTGGGCTTTTCCTTCTCCTGCGTAATACTCTATTTTCCTTGCTTGTGCCTGAGCGTGGTGGTCCTGTCCGGCCGTGGACTGAAGGCACGACTCAAAGCACGACTTGGCCCGTTGTGGCGCTCAGCAGCTCCTGGTTGGAAACGAGAAGGTTGAAGAGTGTCTCGCGCTTTGAGGCTGTTGGAAGGGCTGCTGTTTCCTTGGAGGGAAGTGAAAGAGAGTAAGTTCTGTGTTTCTTTTTCTTTGGGACAAAGGGATTTTCTGCAGGGCTGCCGGCAATGCTGCTTTTCTTTTAGCGGGGATAGCTGGGGATAGAGAAGGCAGGTTCCAGAGAGCAAGGCAGCCTGCTCTTCCGGGGACATTCAGCTGAGTCGTGGTGTGACTGCGCCACAACCGTGTACCTTGTGTTTGTCACAAGAGGCAAAGGGGCTACTTTAAATTCAGTATCCAAAGCATAATAAAATTATAGCAGTCCTAGGAGTTAGGTGCAAGTGTTCTTGGGAAAGAAAATATTAATCTTTTTTCTTTTAAGCTTTACTTGGAATATTTGTGACTGGTAAAAACGATGTGCCCTTTCCATCCCTTCAAGTGCCAGACATCATTTCTTATGTTTAGCGCAACAAAGTCACTAGAGGGCACTCTGCCTCCTCCCATCATTCCCTCACCAGCTGTCACATTTAATTCACTTACACAGCTGTGTCATATCTGCCACGATTCTTAAAATACTTTGCTGACTGATAAGGAGTTGCCGCTAAATCTATATTTGAGCAGCCAATTTGGGTTGGTCTTCAGATTTGCTTTCCAAAATGAGGAGAATGCTGATTTCGTTAGGGCTGCCCTGCACTCCATTTGGGACCACATACAGAGCTGTAATAATGGGGACAGATTTTCTGTCCTTTGGGAGTCATTGAGGAGCAGGGCCTTGGCAGTATCCAAATTCTTTAATCTTTCAGAGGCCTTGTAATATCACTCCTGTTAAAATGAAAGACATGTAGTAGTAGCGAATAGCCTGTTTGTTCCCAAGAGCCAAATCTTGCAAGGATCAGAGAGTCAAAACCTTGCCTCAAACCACAGACTAAATCTGCCCCTTAAATAGGAATGCCAGTGTGAGTTAATGTGAGAGAAAGCAATTGGAGTATATGAGCTCTCCATTAACAAAGACATGGAGGAATGGGCTGCTCCCAGCACGGGTGAGGGAAGGTATCAGGATACTTCAGCCTGAGGGGGGAAAAGTGATACACCACCCCCAGAGCCAGGAGAATGTCCAGACTATACCCATCAAGACTGCAGAGTGCTTGGGAATCACCATGTATCATTTTGAGTAACTTAAGAATAGAATCAAATGAGAACATGATTTAGAATTTTTATCTTGCACTGAGTCATTTCCATATTGAAGCAGAGAAGGGGAAACAGGAAAGGGTCTTAATAATCAGCGGTGGCCTTTCATTCTGTTCTCCTTCTCAGAATAATGGCATTGCCAGACCCTTTCTGTCAGGCATTACTCAGCGCTTGAGGTCTGATGTCATCCCATTATCTGCAGCAGCCTGCCAGGGGGAGGGGGAGGAGACAGCAAGGGTGCTGCTGATGAAAGAAAATAAACTTTGGCTTTACACTGCTTGACTGGAGTGCAGTGACACATTTCCTCACTCTGTCTTCTCCTCTTGGCTAGCATTTCTGTCCTTTGCTGAAACTTCGCTCTGAACAATGCGGTCTCGTAGCCAAAGTTCTCTAGGCGGTTTATAACGGCTTGTGAATATTAGTAATTGCGTTTATGGATAGGTTGTCTAACTGTGCAGCATCAATCAGGTTAAGCAGCACCCTGAACAGAGTAAGTGTCTAGGAGGCCCATAGGGGGCTCTTACAGCCACCAGAACTAGGCGTGGTTCTTAGGGAAAAAATAAATCTTTGTGAACATGAGAGAGTGAAAGTGCCTCTGCTAATCCCTGGCAGGTGGGTCACCCTCTAGAGACTGGGAACCGTTCACCCCGCTTCTTGTAGCATCCAGTTGAGGGACAGACACTGCAGGATGTACTGTTATATGGGGTTGGACTTAACTAAGCTACAGGTCAGACAGCTCTTTTTTTAGAAGAAAAGAGCAAATGGCTTCCTGGAGCAGACTCCTGTGCATGTATAGAAGGCCCTCCCTATACTATTCATGGAAAGCAGGTGGGACTCAGCCCCTGCCCCTCATGTGTAATACTCCTTAAGTATTTGAATGGAACCAAATAATCTCACAGGGAAGGAAACCAACTGTTCCAGGTTTGACTGCTGTTGCCACCTTGCTTAAAAGGAGATGATCCATCTTGGTTTCCTGACAACTTCAGAACTGAAATTCTATCCAGCCAGACAGTTGGCAGCCAGCTGGTGTGAAAATAACCCGTCTCCTCAATGGAAATGGTCATATGGAATCCTCACTCGGATTCCTCTGGGCTGCTTCTGTGATCTGTGATACTTTGGAAGAAGGCCACTTGACTAGCTCATCTGCTGCACTGGCCAGCCTTGTCTCTGACACGCTAGGAGGTCTACAATCAGACTCAGCACCAACACTAGAGAAAGGGACAGGTTATTCTCAAGGAGCAAGAAGCTTTGTTGTTACTCTTGGCTGGAGGAGGTGTTGGCCCCTGCTAACTAACCCCGACAGTGTCTTCCAGATAAGGCTTCCGAATGCGACATTCACGTTAGACAGCTGAGGGCGGTGGGCTCTGGCTGGCTTCTTGGCAAGAGCAGCCACCCACCTCTGGTTCTGGCCTTCACACCATCATGGGTTCTGTTTTTCAGGTTTGGATGCCACCACAAGCCAACATGGAACTGAGATCAAACATTCCATGCAGAAGTGCCACGGCAGGACTTGGATGACGCAGCAGGCCAAGAATGTTGGAAAACCCCACCGTGGCTTGTCGTGTCATGTCATGCAAACCTTCTGTCTCTGCACAGGAGAGTCCCTGCAGTGCCCACAGGAGCCCTGGCAATGAGAGCCCTTTCTTGCCTTCGTTCCCAAATGTATGCTAGCTGTACCTAGAATCTGTCGGCCCGGTGCAACCAGAGTCCTTGGTATGGCCAGGGGGTCTTGTCACCATCATCTGTGAAGTTGGAGAGGAGGATGGCTGGAACCTAGCTGAGTCTGAGGAAGGAAAGGCTCGTTCACGGATTGTTATGGAGGTCCAGACAAGGTGACCTCCCACTGGTTGGATGCTGTGCAAACCGAAGAATGGACTAGATCGGCCTTTGGCCTCCCTGCTCACCTGCCCATGTTTTCCCATGGCTGCTTCTGGCTTCTTCCATACCACGGAAAGCCTGTGGTGAAAGGAAGTGGGGACTAGCTGCAGGATGGCAGCTTCCGTACACGGCTTCGAGAGTGCCATCACTCTGCCGCATTTGCAGGATATAAGGTGGAGTACAGATGGTGACTCTTTCCACTCTTAACCTTCCCGTGTTTTCTGGTTGCAGCAAATCTGCTGAGGAAAAAAGGAAGGACCTGGCTGTTCGAGGAACCCTGCATCCGGAGCACCCTTTGATACAGGGAAATCATGTAACTCACATTCCTCATGGCACAGCCATGAATGTAGTCTCTCGCTATCCCAATAAAGTTCTCTGGAATCCAACCGTGGCGTTCTCTTACCAAGCACTGAATGTTTCTTGTGGCCTGTGCTTGGATTTGTGTGGGTCTCCTGTTCTCTAGCCCCACTGAGGCTGGCTGCTGGTGTTGGCCAAGGGCTGGGCTCCTGGAACTCGTTCTGGCCCAGCTGGCAAACGCTCTGTGAGCGCTGGGCACCTGCTGCCAGGCTCCGTGCAGCCCTCTGCCTGTTCTGCTCCCCAGGGCATGTGTGGTGCAGCTGAGCAGGCTAGCCCCTCCCAGAGTCCAGGCATACTGGGGTGGGATTCCATTCCAGTCTAATCTCTGCTTCACAGCTGCGCTCTGACCTCCAGAAAGCTCTCGCCCCCACCTTTCCAGTCGCACGTTGGGACAGAAATAGATACTTAGGATGCTGATTCTGGGGGTGGAAGACGCTTCCCTGCCACCATCAGGTTGGCCTGTGGAAGCCGGCTGTCCCCTCCTGTGTCACTCAGTGCAGCCTCTGGGTAAATGACCACCTGGCACCCTTGCAGCCAGTTTTCGGGCTAAGACCAGGGCCACAGCGGGCCTGTCCTCTTGCCAGCTCTTGCACTCCCCTTGCTTCCTGCTCCTTCATCGCCTTCCCCTGAAGGGGACTTGTAATTACAGAGGGCCAATCTTACAGGAGGATCGTCATGTTTACTGCTTGGAAATTGCTGTTTATGGATGCCAACTAAGGTTCTTTTTGGGTTGCTTAGGCACATAGAGATCTTTATTTTTGTCCTCTGCCTGCCTTTTATCTCCTACCGAGATCCCTGTCGACCACCTAGCTTTCACTGGGACAGACACTGCTGAAAGTAGTCAACAGGACAATTTCTGTATAATCGCCAGTCTTTCCCTGGCTCCCAGGGAGACAGAAAGGTCCTTTCTTTTACTCTGGCACAACTTAGAACGGACACAAACACATTCTTACTTGGGCACCTCGGGTCCCAGGCAGCGTGGCCACCAAATCTCCACGGAATAAGGTCCCATATAATCTAAATGGGCACAATCTAAAGGAGGCAAGAACTTGTCCCGGCTCTCCCTAGCAGCACTGGGGAAAGATGGCCTTGGCTCTGGTGGTGGCATCCCTCTCACTCTGCTGAGTGTGAGAACATACGAGTGCTGGGACATGCTGGATCCGACCAAGTGCCGTTTTGCTCAGCATCCACTATCACATAATGGCCAGCCAGGTACCCCAGTGGGAAGCACACCAGGCTGAATGTCCTTGCCAGACACACAGGAGGCCTTTGTGATTACCTGGGTTCAGGTGATCTGGGAGCAGAAGGGATGCTGTTTGTCATGATAAGGGCACAGGCAAGCCTTGTAGGTTTTGCAGGGAAGAATCGCAGGTGAGAAACTGCTGTCTGCAAGCTTTCCTTCGCATTCGTACTTACATGCAACATCTAGGCCACCCCACAATAGAAGTTGAATAGGGAGACATTTTTCTTCATCATGACACTAGATCCCACAGGGGTCACCTTATGAAGCTGATTGGTGGGACCCTCTGGAAGGTATTCTTTACACAGGACAGAATTAAACTCTGGAATTAGCACAAGATGTTGGGAAGGGCCACTGATTTGGATGGCTTTAAAAGTGGCATGGACAGATTCATGGTGGCTATCAGTGACCCACTGCTAAGGCTGAGGGCTGCCTGCAGCATCAGAGGCACCAGTGGCTGGGGAGCAGAGCGAGGTGGTGGCCACTCATGTCCTGCTTGTGGGAACCCCGCAGGCTGCTGGCTGGCCACTGCCAGAAGCGAATGCTGGCTGGGGGAGCTTAGTCTGTTCTGGCACGTTGCAGGTTTTCTTATGTTCACAGTTTGTGTTTGGGGTCACCTTGTATCAGATGGGCCCAGCTTGCCGCAGTGAGCCATTTGGGTCCCTGTGGCAGGAGAGGAGACCTTGCAGCAATGGAAGCAGCTGAAGAAGCCGCCATGCCCCCCCCCCACCCTTCTCCCTGGGATCTGACACGAAATGCAGCAGGGACCAGAGCGGTCCCAGAACAGGGAAGGAACATCTGTTGTGGGCTCCCGCAGTGTCTGCGCAACCTGAGTCCTCGCCAGCTTGCCTGCTCCCCTTGCCTCGACCCCCTCTCTGCCCCTGATGGACAGCTCCAACAGCACATTCCAGAGAGCTGCCCTGCTCCCCACAGCTGATGGATTTTTAATCCATCTCCATGGAGTCCAGTCAGAGGTGAGGGGGCCCCTTCTGATCTTCAGTTTCTGTGGCTGAGACTAAACCCCTCAGCCGCCTTTTCTGGGGCCTTGTGCTGGCAACAGCTGCAAACGGGGAAGGACTTCGCCTGACGGAGGCATTGTAGGAGCAACTGCAGCAGAATGGGAATGCCCCTCAGCTTAGAGGGAGGCCTTATTATAGAGTGAAGGCCGAGGGGTCTTTCTTTTCTGGTTCCACTATAGATCGGCATCTCCCCCCTTGATTTATAGCCCACTGCTGCTCAGGCACATCATACCAATTGCACCCAAAGGTGCACATGCAACAGTGGTGAAGGGGAGCCTCGTCTCCGGAAGGTTCACGACAGAAGGATGGATCTATACAACTTTCACTGGCATCGCAACCCAAAGGGAGCAGCTCTGCAGGAGTCTGAAGGAGTCAACTCCTAGAAGGACAGTTTGAAAGCTGGATTTCTTAGCTGAGAGAAAAGGCGATTAGGAGAAGACAGGCAGACACTTTGCAAATATTAAAAAATGTTTGAAGCAGGCTTCCCCTGATTTGGCAGAAATGGAATAAGGTGAAGCAGAGCCTCAGAATTTCAGGATGGGAGTTCCAATTTCAGTAGGCTCTTTTTGCTGAGGTTTTCTGTTACTAAGGACCTTTCTGCTCCACTCGGCCCGTTGCACATTAAAATCCTGGGGATTTTAACTTATGCAGTGCAGTCCCATCTCTCATCACGGTAACTCTGCTGTTTTCAGGGATCTCACTTTCAGCAAGCAGTTGAAGCACTCGGGTAGTGCGTCTGGGGAATACTGTCCTCCTCCAGGTAGCGCATCCACTGCCGGGGCACAGCGCTTCCCAGTCCGACTTTCACCCTTTAAATAGGACACGTTAGATTTGCATTTTGATCGTGCTTCACCTCCGCAAAGTTGTCCTGGTGTAGGACTGAGGCACGCCTCACACAAATGCTCTTACTCCTCCGACATCAGAGTCTCGCATTAAGGCTGCTTCAGTAATTTTGTCATGCACTCATTGAGAACTCACGTGCTCAATGCATAAATGAGATCATCTCCTAATTTCTGAACTCTGCCATTCACCAAAATGGAACAAGCAGCCAACGAAAAAGTGAATTTGTCTGGAGGGGGCTGAGATTTTAGGAGAAGGAAAACAAATCCTCCAGACAATGTTGTCATTTACATTTTCGTTGCACTTCATTTTTTCCTCCTCCTTGACATTCCTCGAGGGCTGCGGGAATCCGCCGGGCACATTCCACGCTTCACCATGGCCCTCCCTCCCTCCTTCAAGGGGCCTCCATTGTTCGCTGTCTTTGGGAGTGAAGCGGTGTGCTCTTGGGGGAGCTGGAAGAAAGAGCAGGCTAATAAACAGAACTTTTCTCACAGGCACAAGCATTGCATCAAGGGAGAAAATAGCAGGATGCAAAACTCATTTAGCTGAAAAGAGATTCTCATCTTTTATATTTAGAACCCCCAGAGGAGTCTGGGATGGGATTGCGGTGTGTGCGTGTGCGTGTTCGCTTCTCTTCTCTACCCGCCCCCCATCTAGCCTTATAAGGCCTGTAAATTTTGGGAGTTGTGCTGAATGAGGTAATTGCACTGAGGTCATCATTTCCCCCATGCCTGGTCTCACTCCTTCCCCCCTCCCCGCCCCCCGAGTTGCTTTGTGCGGCCTCCATTGAAACAGCTATTGCAGGCCAGCCTAGAAGGGAACAAAGATCTTAATTGTCTGGACCTAAGCCAGGCAAGGGCAGAGAGGCAAAGGGAAGCATCAGTTTGTGGGTACATGAAAGGCGGCTTCATCTGCAACGTGGGGATGCCGATATGCCCTTGGGTGGGACGGATGGACAGATGAACGGACTGGCAAGGCGTGGTGGAGGCCGGCGTCTCCCTGCACCATGTCCAGCCGGCAAAGGCAGACAGGGACGCATTCATGGCGACCACTCACCAGGTTCGGAAACCCCGATCTCCTTCTACCAGGGGTTGGTGGTTGTGACACAGGTTAGTCCTGAATAGCATCCTCAAGCTACAGATGCAGTGCCTAAAACTGGGGTGCAGGAGATGATTGGGGATCTCAGGCTATAGAGCTGATCCACCATCTAGCCTGAATCATGAACACGCACCTTTTCGCTCGGTGTAAATGTTGCCACTGCATGGTGCTGCTGTTGCTGCTGCAGTTTGGAACCTGAGAATTAAACTCACACACTCCTTTCTCTCCAGAAGAATCGTTCAGTCTGAGGGCAGGTTTGCCAGTGTGTGTTGCAGTTGTAAGTTCAAAAGCGCACAACTGTTGATGGCTTCCATAGGCATGCCCACCTCCTCAGCACTCCACGATTCCATAGCCCAGGCACTCCAGCCGCTCACAAATTAGATTATGTGTGCTCCAGCGCTCGCATTTAACAAGACCCAACTGCCTGTTCTGGCATATAATGGTTACACAGACAATAAAGAAGCTTAGATTTGGTCCACTGGCTTCTTGTCACAAAAAGGGAGTTTTCAATTAATTTCTAGGGTCTGCTTGGTACATTTTAGTTTGAGGGACAGAAAGCTTCCCCATAAAAAGCAGAATGGGGTTTCTTCTTGCTTCTAACATGGACGGCAAGCATTTATTCCATACACTTGAAGTTTCTGCCCTTTGGTTGGTGGGGCACCTGTGGATGCCCAGAAACCTGCAAGGAGGCCCATGCCCTCCCCTCCCATCTTCATGACGGACGTTTGTGAGTGCTGGACGAGAACAGTTGACCTTCCCAGATGCTCCTGTGCGTGGCAGTTCAGAGGCGTTCTCAGAATAGCTCATCAGTATGTAGGCAATCCCAGAGTACGGGTTCACTTAACCTATTCAGATCTCTCACATGAGAAGACGGCCATCTGAGAGTAAGATTAAATTCTTCACTGTTGAGCCAAGACAGAGAGTTTCTATTTCCAGCAATCATTCTTTTAGCCAAGATCTGCCTATTGTTTCTTTCACATAAAAATCTAGGCATGACGATCTCAAATGCAATGTTTATGCAAGCATCGATCCCAGCGCCATATCCACTCAACATGCCCTTAAGTCAAGCCTTCTAAGGATGCTCCTGGGGCCATTTCACGATTGAATTCCCTAATTGGGCAGCGGGGTTTGCTGCACCCAGGTGGCAGTCCTTCGGAGATTGTTGTAGCGTTCACAAGGCCACGAAGTGTGAGGATGGAGGACCAGATGTGGGCTACTGAGCTAAGACCCTTGCAAGGACCCTGGGACCCTCTTTCCTCACAGACCCTCCTCCTCCTCAGTATGGCTGCTGCCCACTGCCCAGAGGGCTTCCAGACCAGCTTCGCTTTCTGGGTGTGTGCAGTCCAGCCCCATTTGCCAGACTGCCCTGTGTCTCCATGATAAATAGGCTCCCCCCTTCATCCTGACCCTTCTTTTCCTTCTGCCCACCCCAGGGATTCCTTTAGCCCTGTTCTCCCAGTCCATCACTTCCTGCAGCACTCCTGCTTCCCCTTCTCCACTTTCTACAGCGTGGAGTGTGACACGTGGCCATTCGGTTCCGTCTCGTCCCCTTCTCTCAGCATTCGGTGCTTAATCTCTTCAGGAATGTGTGCTGCTTTTCCTCCATGCCTCCCTTTTTAGGTTCTCTAGCTTCTGACAGGGGCATGGAGCAGCTACGCCCAGCACTGCCTAAGGCTTCTTTCAGCAGAGCAGAGTGGTCTTGAATACTCCCACGTGCCTGTCAGCTGGGACCCTCCTCTCCTCTCCCCGGCTCGGCTCGGCTCGCAGTAGCAGCAAGAAAAAACACGCCCGCGTGACCATCTGGCCACATCAGTGCATAAGAACCGGATGGCTCACTCATACCCGTCAGGGCTACTGCTTTCCTGATGAGCCCAGGGCTCACCTTCAGCAACACCCTGCGCGACGTCTGTGGAGCTGGCGTCTTCCTGTCCAAGTACTGAACCAGGTGTGAACAAGAGAAAAGCTGCTTAGCCAAAGCAGAGGTTCTGCTGGCGCTTCAGTGCTCCTTTCAGGCACTGCAGGCCGAATGGCCAGGGTGCCCCATGAACCAAAAGACTTGAGTCAAAGAAAACGTAATGGCCAGGATGCGCCGCACCAGCCAGGGAGAGAAGGCAGCTGAAGTTTATGCAGGCCAGCAAATGTCAAGGCCTTTGGACCAAGGCTTGCTCTTGATTAAAGAAGGAAGGCTTTTCTTTCTGCTTTTGTACTTCAGGCTCTGTAGTTTGCCCTTAAAAGGCTCCTCTGTGTCTGGAGAACATGAGCTTATCAGGCCTTGGCTCCACTATTCTCCATGAGGTAGGAGAGTTGGCTGAGTCTCATGTGCTGCCTTCAAGGGAGTCGTGTGAGTGGTAGGCAATGCCAGCCTCGGACTGCAAAGCCCCAGAGCAAGAGCTCTGGGCTGAGCCATGGGCGGACCAGACTTTCAAAAAAGTCCTGGTAGCCTCACAGTCTTCTAGTGTTATGAGGGAAGGACAGAAAAATGGCTGTTCATCCAGTTTCGTGGGATTATCACATCTTCTAGTGCTTTGGGAGGAATGACGATGATGCATTCGTGCCGTCTATATTTGATCGGTCTCTGTTGTTTTCTCAGCTGCCTAAATTTCAGACCCCCCCCCCCCCAAATATAGCCCATCTATCCAAAGCAAGGCCCCACACATACCGCCGTGCTCCTCTGCCTCGCAGCCGGCCGGGCTTCACCACAAGGGCAGAGCCGGCTTTGTCTCGTGCCCACAAAGCCCGCCCTGCCCTGCCCTGCCCTCCCATGACTCAGCAACGTCCGCGCAACAAGCAACTCTGCGTAGGGATGCCTTGCTGGGCAGCGCCAGCAGTGAGTGGCTTGGCACGAGGGGCTGCTTTACCGGAGCCCGGCGTCTCTCTGCAGGAAGGGAGCCCAAGGAGCTCTGGCTCTCGGGCCTGTTACTGCCTTTCCGAAAAGGCTGAGACAGTAACAGAGAGGCGGACGAGCAGCCCCCGTGCACCTTCGTAGAGCACCCTTGCTTCTCAAAACACGTCTCCAGCTCCAGCGCTGACAAATGTGGGGGCTCTCGATGTCGCTGAGCACACCAAGGAGCTCTGCAGGCTCCGGGCAGAGGCCTCTGGCTTCCGGCCATGCCCTCCCGCAGGGCCAGCCAGGTGCCCCGATGGGGAGCCCGCAAGCAGGCCCCGAGTGCAGCGCCTGCCAGTGAGAGGGGATGTTTAGCCATCATGGCAGAGCTTCGATAGCCATGTCCTCCTTGGAGAAACGCTTGGCGGGGGGCAGGCAGCTGCAGAAGCGACGCCAGCTGGAAGGCCGACGGTGTGTATTTCGTGCACCAGTGCCTCGCTGTGCTACCGGCCCACCCGATCTGTGATTAGGGAAAAAACCTCCACTCTAATCAACCAGGCTCAGAGCAGAACCCACCCATCAATTTTCCACTGCTGCTTTGACTGGATGTGAGACAGAGGCCGTTCTGGTCCCGTCCCCTCATTCCTTGCACTATCCCAGGGGCTAGAATCGGTAGGATTTGCTCCTACTTTTCAAAATACCTCTGTCCTCAACAGGGCTGATGAATCTATTGCATCAGCCAGGCACGTATCTAAGGCTCTCCATCAGGGATCCATTCTGGTCCTCACTACAATACCTACTCTTCTTTCTTCCATGCTAAAGTCATCACTGGCTGCTTTCCTGGGAGAGGGAAGGGCGTCCAGCTGCCCCCATTTGGAGATGCAAATACCCTTCTTTTTGCTGGCATTCGGGATCTGCGAATCACATCACCCTCCCCCCACCTCGCTTCCTGTCTTTTCCTTCCCTTCTGTGCTTTTCCTAGCAAGCTACTCATCTATCGGTCTGCTGCAAGGCAGGCTGCAGCCCTCTCCGGAAAGCACCAGTGCTCCTCCAGCCTGTACTGGCCTTTTGCGCAGCTGGAGTCCTGCTCATGCTGGATTCTTCGTGGGGAGGAAGTGTACTCTGCAAAGCGCAGCAGCAGAACCATTTGTGGGGAAGAAAGTTGTGAGAATTCAGGCCAGTATTTAAAGACGGGCTGTGCACCCGCAAGGCATACATACCTTTTTGAGTTTTGGGTTGCCGTGGCTGGGCAAGCCCAAAGAAAATCAATCCCCCTTCTAAAGCAAGACAGATATTTTGAAATTGGTGGGAAATAAATTGCTTTATTAGCTTATAAAGGAGGCAGAGAAATAGGCTTCAGACAGTTTGTCACGTTGGTTCTTTTGAAGAAGGCACTGCAGCAGAATTTAAAATTTAAAAGTACCACAGCTTAAGTGTAGGAAAACAATCCCCCCCTCAAACACACACACACAAATTTTGTCTAACATTTGGATAATTCTGCCCAAAACTTCCTGCAAATTCCCTCATGCTGTGTTTTGTCGGGACTGGAGCTCAATTCAGTGTCTAAGAGCATAATTAAATCTGCGCTTAGACATATTACAACAAAACCAACATTTTGCTGCCTAAACCCTATAGTAGATTTTATTTATTTGCACTCAGAACCCAGTTCATGGTTTCAGGACTTACATCTGGTGCTCAAAAGATGGAGCTTGCCATCAAAAGCCATCCGTGTTTCAGGGATGGGAACACGTTGCCCAGCGCCAAGCAAGGGAGCGGCAACACCCATCGCCCAGCTGCCTGCTCTTTTTGGAGCTGAAGCCCACTATTTTGGGGCTGCTCTGTGTGGCTCCATCCACCCCGCTGCCTCCCTCCTCCAACATTAGTGGGTTATAAAGTGCCCCTTCTCCTCAGTTAAGCTGAGTGGAAACACACCAGCCACGGCCAAACCAAAAGTGCTGGTGACTTGCATGGCGCTGGCATCAAACGTTTGAGTGGAACCGAGGAAGGAGCTGAATCAAGTAATCTGGGAGTCCTCCCAGAGTCCTTTGCTGGGCCACTAAAGATGCTGCAGGTAACATGCTCTCAGATCATGTGATAGGGCAGGTCTTGGGTTGCTCTACCCTGTTTCAGAGCCTGCTCATTGCTGAGTCCGATGCCCCCCCTCCCCAAACTCGATCCCACAATCATTAGTTCCTAATGAAACAGCAGATCATGAGCCATCTGGGGAGGCAGAAGTCTAGAAGTCACGATGTGGGCAGAGAATGTGCCAGCCTCTCGAAGAGGAGAGGACTTGGTGCAAATTGTGGACTTGTCTGTCCCATTGTAGATTAATTAGAAAAATATTATTGCAAGTGAACTGCTGCAGGGCACCTGAGCTTTGATAGGAAGAGGCATCCATAAGGCACATGTGCTCTTCCGGCCACCGCAGGATGGCCAGCGAGGGTTGCAAGGATGACCTGGTGGGGCTCCCAGTCGTACCAGTGAAACTGGGACAACAGACCTTCACACCAGACTGTCTTCCAAGGCTTGGCTGGGTTGGATATCCCAGCCATGCTATCGGCCCAAAGTCAGTGGCAAGGACTTTGAGGCTCAAATTTTTAACAGGTGCACGAACAGATATATTAAGAGCAATACGCTGGGCACTACAATTTGGAATTTTAGAAACTTTCCTTAAAAACAAAAGCCCTGGAATTGCTGAACATGGGGCAAGCAGTGTTGCTGTTCTTAAATTACAGAAATTGTGTAAAAAATGTGTGCTTATGCACGCATGCACAGACAAACAAGAAATGGACTGGGGCATTTGAAACGCTGTTAGAGAGAGAGGGATGCTATTGTCATTAATTCACATTGATACCGAGATCTGGAGTGCATCTTAATTCCCAACAATGCGGAGTCCCAAACCTGTCCCCCATGCCCTGGGACAAGCGGTAAATCAGGGAGAGAGGCCACTGCTTGTCATTCCTTCCTTTAGGAGTGAAGCAGTCTAGATCAGCAGCTTTCTCTTAGCTGGTCTAGTCCATTTCAGGACCTTGCTGGCTTTTAAGTGTCCAAGAAATGGCAGCAATTAAGGAGATAAAGCAAAGAGGCCATCCTTTGCCCCCGATCCAGAGACTGGCTGTGCCACCCCGACATTACCTTTGTGGCAAATGACACGTGCTTCCATGGCCTGCCAGCCCAGAGAAAGATTCTCCTGTGTACAACTGTATTTACTAGGCTGCACAAACAAGGGAAGGATGCTATAATCAAGATAAGATGATCCGCAGTCCTTGGTGATGGGATTGCCTTCTATAACCCGGTCTTAGGAGCTGCTGTAACAGCCACGAAGTACCAAAAATGGCACTTGCCAGGCTTTTTGGCCTCCCACACTGTGGCCTTCTTGTGGTATTTCACGCCACGCCGACGGTTCCAGGATTGTGAGTTCCAGTGTAAAAGGATGTGAAAGCTGGCATCACGGCAACCTGGATGCCAGTAACTGACAACCTGTTCCAGCAGCAGAGGCTTGACTGTCCCTCTCCCAAATACTTGGTAGCACTTATGGAGAACGTGATTATTCCTAATTAAACCCAACCCTGGTGCTCTCTTGCTGTGTCTGACAAGGCACTGGATCCTCATTTAAACAAACTTGTTAAAAATAACCACCACAACGTGTTAAGGGGGTACATAGTCTATCTAATCAAAGCTTTTGATTGTCAATGTGACTGCCTATTTTTAATTTTTATTGGGAGGTGAGTAGCTAGATGAGGAGCAGGAAGATGATGGGGGGTGGAAAATTTGACCCCACTGAGCCGTAATGATCTCGTTTGCCTCAGGCAAGAGTGAACTGTTGGGGAATATTATTTCGGTTGTTTTCTGAAGATCACAGTTCATCATCTTCCGGTTGGAACTTCAGGTGTTGGCTAGACTCCAGGGAGAGTATTTCCTCTCTGAACTGTGGTGGGTTGATAATTGCCTCCATTTCAGCACCCTTTCCTTTCACACAGCTAGTCTGCATTATCTCGGCAAATCGGTTTTCATTAGCTCCTGTGGTCTCCAGCCCTTTTTGGTCCAGAAAGGGTTCCACAAGAACTTCAGCACTGACTTCTTCAGCTCTTGGTTCTTCCTCAGTTTGAGATAGACTCTGGCTTACAGTCTCCACCATGGAGAGGTCATCTGGCTCCTCTTTGTGGAACTGTTGGGTGATAGTAACCTTTTTGATTAATTCTTCTCTGGAGCTGCCAACATCATTTTCCATGTCGCCAGGGAAATGCTCGATGCCGTTCAGTATCTCCTTAGTGAAATCTTGCATCCCGTTAGCATTGTTTTCGACCCACAGATGACTGGGTCCTGTTGAGTTTCTGGCACTGAGGGAAGAGCTTTCTGGAGCCTCCGTAAAAATCTGGGATTCGCCTCTATCTGATGATGGAATAGAAACATACTGACTCTTCTCTTCTAGAGAACGGCCCACTTCTTCTGCTGTTGCGGTCAGCTCAGCCTCAACATGGTGCTCAGCTGCCTTGATCAACTCTTGGTTAAACTCTAGAGCTTGTTCCACAATTTCCAGGATATCGGAATCTTTCATACTGTCTACGGAAATGCTCAGAGCTGGCCCTGGCAAAGGATCTGGGCAATCTGTGCCACTCGGATCAGCCTCAGCCTCAGCCTCAGCCTCCTCTCTCTGTTGAGAGGGATCTTCTGTTCCACAGCCTTCTAGATCAGAAATCTGTAGGGAATCACGGGCATGTGGCACATTCCCATCCTCCTCATATGACAAAACGTCGGATTCTACAACGCCTGTTTCACCACCCAGGGACACGTCTCCTTCCAGTATTACTTCTCCCAAGTCAGCAACACTGGTGAGAGGAGAAACTTGACGTGGACCTTCGGCCTCTTTATTAACTTGGTCACTCAACTCCAGCGGGCCATCCTTTCCCTCAGTATTGCTGGAAGCCTGGAAAACACTGTCCTTCTCTGACTCCCAGGCAGAATCAGTCCCAGCTTCTTCATCCTGCACCTGCCCTATGAGCTCAGCGTCCTTTCCCATGTCATTCCCTTGCTGGAAGGTTTCCGTGGGCTTTGTGTCAGTTTCTGCATCCAAGGGTATAGGATCCAGTGCAAAGCTGTCTTCCTCACTTGCCCTCTCATGTGCCGCTGCGAGCAGCTCTTTGTTATCACTAACGAGCTCTGATGTTTCAGTTTCGGCCTCCTCTAAGTATTTTGAAGTTGGAAGCTCCTTTGCACCAGAGGTGTCCTGGCTGGAAGCTGCTTCTGCGCTGCAGCTCCTTTCCACGGTGCTGTCTTCCTCTTCATGGTCACACGCTTCTGCTTGAGGGCTGACGGAAGGGTCTTCCTCAGATACCTGCCGCGTGCCCTCTAAGGACACAGGGCTGTCTTTGATTAAGAGCAGCACTTCTGCAGCCTCTGGACTCTCTGGCAGGGATTGTGAATTCCCAGGCACAGCCACCGTCTGCCCATCATACAGATGCAGCGGTGTGTGGTCTGGCAAGGTTTCCTCCAGCACAAGGTGCCTGCCACTTTCTAGCCCCCTTTCAGCCCCATCTCTCTCACAGGTGGCATTTGGCGAGGTATCCAAGGATTCAGGGGAGTCTGCAGAGCCAGCGTAATCACTTGGTGACTGGTCGTAGCTTGTATCGGCGTGGCCCTGGGCTTCAGGCTCGCCGATCGTGTCGCTCTGTGCTCCAGAGAGAGCCTCCAACTCTTCGCTAATATCCTGGACTGGGCTTTGCTCCAGGTGTGCTGCGTGCCGGCTTTGGAGGGGCTCACTGTTTCCAGTGCTGACTGCTGCTTCTGCATGGTGTGCACCAGTCCTGAACCGTCCGGCTTCAGAGCACCGGGGAAGGTTATTGCTGTCCTGCACAACATTAGTACTGAGGTGGCCTGCTGCTTCCTCCATCTCCAAAGTGCCTGTTCTCTCCTTGTTTTCCCCCTCTGCGGCTTCTGTGCTTGTCGTCAAATCTTCTCCTTTCAGGACATCCCCCTCAGCCCCATGAGGAGCCACGGTGCTCTCTTCACCACTGTCCACCTCCTGCTTTACCAGCACTTCTCCTTGGGATGCCTCTCCTCTTCCTTGTGTTTGCCCTTCCGTTGAGGACTCCAGATGCAGCACGTTCTCCACATTCACATCTTGCGAAGCAACGTTGGGCTCATGTGCGCCATCTTGTGCGCGGACTGTCTCCAGGCCTTCCTTCTTCATGGGATCCTCATCTCCCAAAGCACTCTCTTCTTTATGTCTGAAAATATCTTCTCCCACCTTCCCCCCATCCTCTTCCTCAGAACCCCATCTTCCAATAGCTCTAGGCTCTTCTTCCAAGGTAATTTCTTTGTCTCTTGTGGAACTTTCGTCTGAGGAAAAGGTCTCTTCTACACTGAAGGACTCAGGTTCCAAGACCCTCTCTTTTTTCTCTTCCTCCAGTAAGGCAGAATCTGTCTTGCACAGCAGTGTTTCTTGTTCCTCAAACTTTTCCACCAGAAGGAAGAGGTTCTCCTGACAACTTTCTGCAGGCAAAGCTGTGTGGCTTATCGGCGACAAATTTTCGACTGTGAATCCTCTTTCTGTGTGCAGTAGCTCACTTCCCAGTATCTCTGCCTGCAAATCATACTCTTCGTTCTCCCTGGAAGGACTCCAGAGCTCTCGCCTTTCTTCATCCTCAGACAGATGAAGGGCTTCTGTGCTCATCACCTCCAGGTCCTCTGCCCCTCCATCCATCTCCTCGAGATACCCTCCTGCGGCGCCTGCGTGGTCACCGAGGTGGCTGCTGCCACGCTCCCACCTCTCTTCTTCACCTCTCGCAATGGCAGGCACATCTGGGCCCAGCTGACTTACTGATTCCGTACCTTCAGAAACATGCTCTGCGTCCTCTCTTGGCCCCATGTCCTGCAATGCAGGTGGCTGTTTGCCATGACTGCTCTCATTCCATTCTGAGGATCTTGCCTCTTTATAACTTTCCGTTTCTCCTGCAACAAGACGATCCTCTAGAACGTCCTCCCTGATCCTTTCTTGCTCTACCAATCCTGTTTCTAGTGGAGAGGGCAGTTCTGCATCACAAAATACCGCAACCTCTGCTGCTGGTGGTTCCTGCTGCTCACCACAGGCTTCACTGCCACCATTGAGCTCAAGAGAGTCCTCGAAGACTTTGATACTCCTCACTTGATCGATTGGTTGCTCATCTCCCATTTCGTCTCTGTGCACCTTCTGTGTAGCTCCTTCTAACACCCCAGTGCTTGGTAAAGAAGCTGCTCCATTTTCCTCTTCCATGGACAAAGAGTTGTCCGCAGGAATGCCATTTTGGGCTTCAACCATGTCGAACAATCTAGCTTCAAGGTGAACATCTCCCCCATTCACTTCTTTTATGGCCATTTCCAAAGCTTCTGTGACCAGCTGGCTGGAATAGGGCAAATTCTGGATTATGGTCTCTCCCGGTGGCTCTTCGCTGAGCTGCTTCTCCTCCTCCTCCTCTTCCTCCTCTTCCACTTCCTCATAAAATTCTCCCTCTGCCATTTGCTCTCTTACCATTTCAGTGGCAGTTCCATCTCTGTCTTCATCTTCTTTCTGGTATCTTTGTTCAGTGGTTGAACTAGGCTCTTCTGAGATGTCTGAAATTATGGGTCCGATGGAGCTGAACTTTGGGAGAGCCTCTTGCAAAAGCAACTGGGAAGCCATTTCATTTTTCGTGGCCATTACCACCTTGTGTTGCTGAGATGAGTCCATCTTAAACGCATCCCCATTGACAAAAGTTGGGGCATCCTTCTGAGGCAGTGCCGCATCAAAACTTTTTGTGGATTGGGATTGTAGGACTGTGTTGGTTTTTTGGAACTCCCTGGACACAGGGCTTTTGTTCTTGGAAGCAAGATCGACTCTGAAGGACTCGGTTTGATTTTTAAGTAACTGGGGTTTTGCATTTCCCTTCAGGAAGGTAATAGGGCTTGGCCTGAGATCTCTGGATCCCAGAAGCCCTCTGTCCAGTGAAATTGCTTGGAGTTTACTGTTACTTGCTTCCAGTTTCACATCTGCAGGTAGTACAAAGAAAGGGAGCATGATAGTCATTCATTAGGATCACATTGCAATTTTTAAAAATCTATAGTTTATTTGTATGAAATATTCATTTGTTCATTCATTCATTCACATGAACCATTTAACCTGTATCAACTGTTGACTGATCCTATGAATCACACCTTAAACCAAAGGTGGGCAGAAAGTATACTGGGATGAACTGGGAGACCTCTGGGTGACTTATAGCACAGGGTTTCTGAGTCCCAGTTGTTTAACAATAGCAAGCTTAACAAGAACACTTCCCCCACCTAAAAGAGGCTTCTGAAACTAAGAAAGGTTTGGGTAACCTGGTGTAAAAAGCCACAGTCCACTCCAGGTTCAACTTAGTTCCGGTACTGCAAAGACACCCCCAGCTCAAAATGTGCCCAGAGACACCCTGCTCTTAATTCCCAGTGAATGCTCTTTGCACCCAGCGCTTGTTGGTGGATCCGGAGCTCTAACAAAAAAGTAGATTGAACAAGCCTGCAGTTTGCATGCCCTCGGATGAATGAACTGCCGTCAGCCAAGTCTGCAACATTTTGCATATGAGATAAAAAACAATATTCCAATGTACAGCAAACCCCTGCTTTGTTTTTGTATTAAATACAGTCCGAGGTATGTCATCTTAGAAGAGGCATCCCGCCTCGACTTCCACAGAGGAGCAGGGCTGGCAAATGCCACCTGTGCTTTTTACGAATGTTTGCGCCAAACGTAATTTTTTAAAAAGTGTTTTAAAAAGGGTCACTCCTCATTTTGACATGTTGCCGGCCGTGCCAGGCACACAAAGGGCGTCGGGGGCCGAGCAGGCACGGTGCTGCTGATCCTGCTTCCTTACGGGGAAGCTCTCCACGTTTAAAAATGGAAATGACTCCCATAAAGTTCCCCTCCTCTGGGTTTTCTCCAGCCCACACTCGCTCCAGTCTCTCCTTCTCCCTCACCCCCCAGTACATACCTCTGAAACTACTGGGTAGCTTGAAGTCTGTCATTGGTATCTGCAGCCGTGTGCTTTCTGCCTCCAGAAGTGTCCTGAAACGCAAAATTTGAGGAAGGCAGATGGTTTGGTTTGTGTGTGTGCAGAAAATGTTGACGTTATCAGAGTTTTGCATTTTACCAGATCCTGCTGAAGAATGTAGACTCTAAAATGACATGCGACTCCTTTTGGCTAGTCAGCTTATTTCTAGTAGTGCAGGGTGCATTTTGGGGTGGTGGGGGGG